GTCTGTCTGTCTGTCTGTCTGTCTGTCTGTCTGTCTGTCTGTCTGTCAAAATATAAACATTTGATGTTTGTTTGTTGTTTTTTTATTAAATGTAAAATTGACTAGATTAAATTTTTGCATCCTATATATATATACAGTAGTCCCTCGTTTATCGCGGAGGATCCGTACCCTGAAGCCCCGCGATGAGTGAAAAACTACGAAGTAGGAATAGTAGTAAAAGTAGTAATTTATTTTTGTGTGTGTGTGCTTTAAACCCTTCCCACACTCATGCAATATTCTAAACAGTTTCTAAAAGAGCACACGTCATGATTTCAGCTCCCTGCCTCGTCTGCTTTTTGCCATCTGCAAGCGCTCTTGGCCACGCCCACTTCTCCGCTCTGCTTGGAGATCAGCTGTTCAGCTGCAGGAGCTTATCCTGCAATGTGGGCAGGTGCAGCAGGTGCTAAATAATTTAAAACAATTCATTTTAAATAAAAATTCCATGCCGATCATGCGGTTCATCCGTAAATCAGCCAATTGTGTCAGGTCCAATCTTATTTTGAAAAACCGCAATAGAGTGAGTCCGCGATAAATGAACCGCAAAGTAGTGAGGGACTACTGTATTATAGATATTGAATTTTTTTTTTTTATATTTAAGGATAAAGCTTAACATAAATTGAATACATTAAATTTAATTCTTTAATGTTCGTAATTAACGTTTGTTTCACACTATTAAGCTTTTCATTTAGTGTTTGTGCTGCTGCATTGTGCTTATCGTTTTAAACTGTTAGTTGTTTTAAAAGGATTTTGGTTGCTAAAATGTTTTTGTAAATCCTTGTTTTCCACCAGATGTCCAAATCAACAGGAAACTTCCTGACTCTCTGCCAAGCTGTTGAAAAGTTTTCAGCTGATGGTACAATCGTTTGATCACTCTTTATATGGTTTTCTCTTCTTCTCTTTCATATCTTTCCTTTTACAAACTATGTGTCCTGTTGCGCTTAAAGATTAAGAACATTGTATCTATTTTACACTTTGCATTGCGTTTGCTACAGTGCAGTTGGCACTACACCCTTTTGTGATTTATAAACACCTATTCTGATAATAATTAAAAAGACTGATCTATATAAATCTACTTTAGAATTGATCCTGGGTGCTATGGGAAACCTTACAAGTCAGATTTTTGGTAATCCTCTGTAAGTAGTACTGAATGCTAAAAATGCTTAATTGAAATGCTTAAATGAAATTGATGCATGAAAGGCAGAGTAAGTTCAACAAGTTCTGTCATCCAGAAGAAACTGATAAACATCCAGTGACTTTGCTGTTATATAAGTATTTTAATATATCTTCAACTAATATATATAAATATGCACCAATGGTGTTGTAGCAGTGCTCTCTGTTGGTCAGGATGATGGAGTGGAAAAGAGAAATATGTTGCCTCCGAAACCAAACATTTATGCTAATCTAAATGAAAATAAAATATTTTAACGTGGAGCTGTGAAACCAAGACCTCGTCCTAATGAGCACCAGGAGATTTTTTTTTTAAAAATTTGACTCCAAATAAAAAATCTATATTTAAAAGGCTACTCGTGCATTTTTCATTTTGTCTTTTTATTTTTCCTGCTTAGCTGTTGAATTTTCTATCTGGGTGGTTAGATTAAGCCCTGTCCAAGCCTGCTGCTGTCTGTTCCTTAGCATCATTTAAGTCGTCTGTCTTGTGTTTTTGCAGCTAAAGCTGCATAATACAAAAAAACACATTTGTTATGCTTCTACTGCTGAACGTCCAGCTGATGCCTGTTTCTTGTGTTTGAAGATCTGAGAGATCTTAAAAAAAAAACTTTTTTTCCCCCCCCCATAAGTCTTTGAAAAATTGATCAAAGTATTTGTTGTTTTGGCTGTCCAAAAGGCAGAAAATGTGCTCAATATTTAAATTTAACACTGATAGAAAACACAATCTGGTTATGAACAAAACAGACCAAATCGTAAGTGCCAGTGGACCATGTAAGATTTTATTTATAATATGTACATTGAAATCTTACCTACATGTTTTGTTGCGCCTGCTCTGCTGATTTTCCACTTGTTGCCGTTTCACACTTTCTTCCCTTCGTTAAGGTATGCGCTTGGCTCTAGCTGATGCTGGGGACACGGTGGAGGACGCCAACTTTGTAGAAACCATGGCCGATGCTGGCATTCTTCGTCTCTACACGTGGGTGGAGTGGGTGAAGGAGATGATCGCCAACCAGAACAACCTGAGGACGGGACCTTCTGACACCTTCAATGACCGCGTCTTTGCCAGGTTCGCAGAACAAGTCGTTAGTGTGAATTGACAGGTTTATCACCAACATTGCTTTATGCTGATGGTATTATATTTATGAAGGTTTTTACATCGTTGAGCTTTTAGCCTGCAGCATCCTTGACCACCATCATGTTGAATCTTGGTTTGAAACAAACTGTAGAGCTACCACCAGCTTTCCCTTACATATCACACGGGTGACCATGACCACTTTAGTGATTTTGTTTCTTCCTCTTTTTCTTTTTTCTGTATCTTATCTAGTGAAATGAATGCAGGTATCATAAAGACGGAGCAGCACTATGAGAGGATGATGTACAAAGAGGCTCTGAAGAGTGGCTTTTTTGAATTTCAGGTACTTATAATTTCCTTTTTGTAAAAACAAATCCTACAGACTTTTTGCTTGAAGATGAGCATTATTCTAAAACATTTTTATTAAAAGTAGACCCATGAAAAAGTGAAACTGTCTTTAAGAATCTGTTGGACACCTGGCAGGGTCCAATGCTGACATGTTCCTGTTTTTAGTTTTCTACATTTGTCTTGGAATCTAGCTGGTTTATTTATTTATTTATTTTTTGTTTTGTTTTGTTTTGTTACCTTTTCCTTTTAGCCATCCTATTTGTTTAAAAAAAAAAAAAAAAACCTGCAGTATGACTTTTTATAACTGTTTATTGTTGTTGCTGTTGTCCATTGTTGTCATCCTTCTTTGTTGAAATCAGGTCTCTCTTGTAAATGAGTCCTCGAGGCTCAATGGGATTTACCTGTAGAAATAAAGGTTGAATGAATTATAGTCATAACTGCACTGATTGAACAAATTAAAGGTGTGTTGTTTGTACATGTTTGACCAAGCTTGTGCAGTGATTTTTGTGTTTAAGTGTGTTGTGCTGGTGCAGTTTTCAATAAATTTGTAATTCAGTACATTTATGTCTGCGTAAAAAAAAAAAAACCAAAAAACTAATGTTTTTCTTTATCGTATGTGGATCGGTGCATCCCTAGTAAAAAGTGTGGCATACAAATATATGTTGCGTGGAAGAGCTTTTGTGTCGTTCTAAAGCACAAAGCAAACAGTTGACACGAAAGTTGACGCTATTTTTATTTTTATTTTTTTGAATGACCGATCACAAGTCGGATATAATTTGCCTCATTTTCTTTGAGTTTCATGAAGAGATCATTTTAACGAGCCACTTCATGTCATAACACTGAAACAATTGTGTTGCTCAAAAGTTCATATCGTAAATCAAAACGTATTCGTGTGTTTTCAGGCTGCCAAAGACAAGTACCGCGAGCTGGCTATAGAAGGCATGCACCGAGACCTCGTCTTCCAGTTCATAGAGAAACAAACCCTGCTGCTGGCCCCCATCTGTCCTCATCTTTGTGAATACACATGGGGTCTGCTGGGAAAGGTACAGAACTTAAACATTTAACATCACTTTGTGTTTTTCTTTGCTCCTAGTTGTCTATCCTCTGATGGGTTTAAATATGATTTAAGATTTTCTTCCCTCTGTCCATCATTCTTGTCTCCGTTGTGTTTGTTCAAAACAAAATTGCACCTAAACAAAGCTTTTTATCACAACATTTATTCATGAGTACACCTGAGATTGCAGAGTCTAAACTTACAGGCCAGTGTTGGCCTGCTCCCACAGCTCATTTACCTTTTGTGAAGTATCTGCTAACACGTTTCCTCAGCTGAAATAAAAGTCCACTGAGAGCCCGTCTTCACACTGAGCTTTTCTTCCTCTGCAGTGTGAAACGAGAGCGCACGCTGTTACACGCTTCCACAAGCGCCAAGAGCCAAGAATATTTTTAACACTCAAATTTATGAATATAAAGGAGTGCTGCTGTGCTGAAGATGTTTGTTCAGTCGTCGCTTAGCAACAACAAAAGCTCCACAACTACCTTGTATTCCCCCTCTATTTAGAGCCGGGGGCTGAAGAGCCGCGTTCACATCGTGGAGTGTTCATGCACGTCAAGTAAAATTGTAATTTATCAGTGATTTTATGAAGGCATGGACTTCTGCTTGATCAAAGTTGGGTAGTGTGGGTTTTCCCTGAAAACTTGTTTGTATCAAAATGCAGAAACTTCCGTTTCCTCTTACAAACTCGTTGTTCTTTCTGTCTCGTTTCCCTCCGATAGACGGGCTCTCTGATGAAGGCGTCGTGGCCCGAAGCAGGTCCAGTCGACGAGATTCTGATCCGTTCCTCTCAGTACCTGATTGAGACGGCTCATGACCTCCGTTTGCGTCTCAAAGCATACATGCTCCCCCCGAAAAACAAGGTAAGATGTGTGCCCAAACAGTATTGTTGTCAACACACATTGTACAATATTAAATGGCAATAATTTAAATTAATTTCAGAATTAAAGGCTCTTAATCCTTGTTGTGAACGTTTCTGAAGCATTCACACTATTGTGATCCTCTTTTCTTCCTTATGTTTTTCGGCATCCTTCTCATTCCACAATTTTTGTGTTATCGCAACAAATCTTATATCGAAACGTTCAGGAGAAAGGTGCTATGGCTTTTGGTATTGGTGCAACTTTAGCTTTGAAATATTTAGCCTTTTCTGCCACATTTTGTCTTATAGAAAATGAATGGAGTTCATTTTACATCCTTCAAATCTTTAGATCTGTTTACAACCTTTTACTGCTCTTTTCACCTTTTGTTCTGGTTCAGCACGTTGCTGCTTCTATAATAGCGCAGCCCCTTATTCTTTATCAGAATACTTTTAGATAGATAAAGGTAAGAGCCACGGGGATGGATAGTGGTATTACAAAAAAGATCTCTTCACATCTTGTCCTATCAGGACATGATTTGAGACATCAAAAAACTTTAGCAGCAAGCACATTTGTAAATGCGATTACATGCATTTGATGTCAAGACGTTGAGATATTTGTCCATGAACACTTTCAGATAGGTCACAGTCCTGATGTTGTTCAGCCGGCAGTTCTGATAAACCTGCACAGTTCTCAGAGGGTGGGATGGTTGCAATAGACAAAGCTTTGTCCCTAGTTACCCATGTCCCAGGAGAAATTTGATAGTCCGTTTGATTTTTGAAGCAAACACTGAGTACAGCACAGGAATCTGTTCAGCTCCTTGACTTTACTGGTGAAAATTACACGTGTGCCCACAAATCAGTCGGCGTCTTGAGGCCACTTTGTCTTTTGTTCCTGATAAAACAAACCAATTTCAAGTCTTAAATTTTGAAATTGTGTGTGTTTGTGTGTTTTTTCCATAGAAAGGTGACTCGAAGCCCCCTGCCAAGCCCTCCCATTGCAACATCTTTGTAGCCAAGAGCTACCCTCCATGGCAGCATAGCGCCTTGTCTCTGCTCGGCAAGCACTACAAGGTGAAAAACACATTTTGACACGGTGAACAACAGGAAGCGTGTTCATTTTTTTTTTTAATCTGCAGAAATACAGGTGTTCAGCAGTCCACAAAAATATACCATGTGTCCCTTCACAAATTACTTGTTTTTAACGAGTTAATAATATTTTTCTTTATTTCTGTTCAGAGCAACAACGGGGCGCTTCCAGACAACAAAGTGATAGCGAATGAGCTGGGAGCCCTGCCTGAACTGAAGAAATACATGAAGCGAGTCATGCCTTTTGTTGCCATGATCAAGGTAAATCTGGTGAAATATTTGATTTTGTTACATTTTTATAAGCTCACTAAATGCATTATTTGGACATAGTCACACTTTGTTTGCTTCTCGGTTCAGATGTGAATACACCGTGTGTCAGTAAGGTGGCTTACCTTTCTCTGTCTGCACACAGCTCTGCTCTCTGACTGTTAGCTTTGCCATTCAAATGTCGTGCTGTGCTGTTTATTTAGAAACCTTTATTTATTGCTTCTTTTGTCAAATAATGATCAGATGAAGGTAAATACAGTAAATGAACAAGGGTTAGCGGCTTAGCGCTCCTGGAAATAAGAGTTTGTTGCATTTGACAGAGTGAGACCAGCTGCCTTTCGCTCCTTCTGTTTGTCTTACATTCATATTAAAATGTATTTGTGTGTCACGCATACAAATTAAATTACTTTCTTCTCATTTTGCTATGGAGATTTTAAATCTAAAATAATACATTTGATTATTGGGAAATAGATATTATTGATTAGAGACTGGTTGTTTTATAAAGATTTAAAGCTCCTGTTTAGATGATGAGATCTTTATTCTTGACTGTGTAATGTTTTTAACTTGATCAGCTTTGTTTGTATGTTAAGATTGTTTTTTCAGTTTTTGTTTTCCTCTTTCAATAAACTCTTGGTCATTTATGAGTTTTTATTTTTATTATTTGTAGGAAAACCTGGAGAAGAACGGACCTAGGGTCTTGGATCTTGAACTGGAGTTCGATGAGCGAACGGTTCTCATGGATAATCTGGTCTACTTGACTAATTCTCTGGAGGTTTGTGTCGATTCATCAGATTCACTTCTCAGGTTTTTACTTGAACCAAAGCATGTGGTTAAACCAACTCTGCCTTCGTGAGCTCCATGTTAAGCAAAACTACCGGTAATCATATTTCACGTAATTTGTTTATAAACATCAGGTAAATCAACCATGGATTAAATTTCTAAATGAACAATTTTATATGACTACGGTGTTTAAAGAAATCTAAACTTTTTAACAGTTGCAGCATTTTCTTCTAAATACATCTACTTTAACAGATTTAAACACTAAGAGGAAAACTACTTGAATCACTTCAAAGAAGAAGGTTGAATCTAATACCAATAATTCTGATAAACCATTGTTCAGATCAAGCTGGCAACAAAAGCCGAACCCGCCGTCACAGAACTAGTTTGCATGATCAAGGATTGGGAGTTGTGATATTTTACTCGGTTTAGCTAATGACACGTCTGTTTGCTGCTGTAACACTAGCTATGTTTACATGGACATAAGTAATCGGATTAAACGGCCATTCAGAAAAAAAATGCGTCATGTAAACGCCCCATTCGGATTATTCTGAGCTGATTCAGCTTGATCCGAATGAATTTGTAATCAGAATGAGATGGGTGGATTATGCCGGTTCATAATCCGAATGGTGTGCATGTGAACACTTAATCTGTTCACTTTATTCCGACTGTGAAAAACTGACCTGACCGCGCATGTGCGATGTATGTCTACCTCACTTAGTTCCGCCTGGCTAATGCTAATAATATTAGCATGTCGGGGAAGCAAAACTGGTCGGTGAGCAACACAACATTTCTACTAGGAACTTTGAAAGAGCTCAAAATGACCTTTATTATCTGTAGCTCAGTCAGGAAGTGCAGCAACGTCTCCACCGTCATTAGAACCTGTTGCGGGTCCATTTTGGGCGCTCAGGTTTGTTTATGTTCATCCCGGAAGTAAACCAGAAGTAGAACTTCTTCTGTGTTTTTTTTTTTTTTCAAGGAGAGTTTACCACTCTGTGCATGTCAGTACTTCTATTCAAAGTAAATGCTCGTCGTGAACGGATTGTGCCCATGTAAACGATGCATTCGAATTGTTCAATCTGAAAACATTTCTATACGGTCAAAGAATATTGCGCATGTAAACATACCCACTTGCTTCTGTTCAATTCAAACCACTTCTGCTGCTTTGCTGTCGATAAGTGTGACTCCACTTGGTTCTCATCTTATCGGTTCTTCTCAGGTGTAGGTGAATTTCCACTGACTTGTTTCCCTGCTCTGTGGGCGGTTATATGTAGCACCATCCGGCTCGCTCTGAATCCTCTGATCCATCAATAAAGACAGAACGTTCTGGACCACGTCTTTGGTCCATGGGACTGTTTTAGGAGCTTCTATACTGAACTAAAATCTAAAAAAAAAACTTGAAAAAATTAACTATCCTACACTCTATAAAGATCGGAGAGGAAATGGCGGTTCAGTTGTAGTTTGCAGTTTTGCTGGCCGGGTCATCCAGTGACGTAGCTCCGCTGGCCAATCAACAGCTGCTTCCTGCTTACGTCAGAATCGTCACTTGGGAGCAGTTCGCTTGGAACCATGAACAAGATGGTCCCATAAACCAGGCTGAGTGGGGGTGGGTACCGGCAGTGGGCAGGCCCTTGACTGGTTTGGTGTGGTGCGGAACCGATGGGAGTGGCAAAGCACCATTAGAAGTCACAGCTGAAAGGGTAATAAAACAACCTTGGACTGTTCCTGGGATATATAAATAAGACAAAATAAAATGCAGAGAGCAATCTTTGTATATAAAGCATGCTGGGAAATAAATAATTTGTTCAGACAAACCCTTCCCCCTGCCACATTGATCTGTTGAGAAAATAAATGTCTTTGTAATTTCTGGTCGAGGAACATTTAACGGTAGATATTTTCCTTCTACTTTCCAGTTCAGGTTGTATTTTATTTTTTCTCACTGAAACACTGTCCTGTGGGATTTGTGGCATTCTGGTGTAAAGCTTGATAAGTCTTGGATCACTGTCGGGTGTGGGTCAACACCGCCCGCCTGTGCCAGTGGGCATGCCAAACACACCTGTGTACACACTCGTGTGTATTTTACTGCTCAGCTGAGCATTAATATGTTTTCTCATGATTTTTACCCAACAGTTGGAGCAGATTGATGTCTTATTTGCATCCGAAGCTGATGACAAAGTGAAGGAGGACTGTTGCCCCGGGAAACCATTCAGCGTGTTTAGATCAGAGGTAAATGATTCTGCTGCGATTTAGTTGCTCAAAGATGCACTTTAAAAATATTAGAGTGCACAGTTTGTAAATGTGATTGTTTTAGCTGCTACTCTGTGAGGTGCGTCCTTACTGTTCGTCAGTGATGATGTTCATCTGCGTCGTGCCTGTGTCTCCCCAGCCTGGAGTGTATGTGACCCTGATCAATCCTCAACCCTGCAACGCACTGTTTTCTACAAAGATCAGCATCCGACAGGGCGACAACGCAGACGGCATCATTCGGCGACTAGCTAAAATCAACAGACTCGTAAAACAAACTCAAACAGGTCTGTTATTAATGCCTTAATCTGCAAATATTGACTCTGCTTAGATCTTAATCGTTTGTGAGCCACTGAGTCGCTTCAAAGCTGTGCACATTTTGTATTTTTGGAGCAAAATGTTTAGTCATACCTCCTGGTGGCTTAGCCAAGTAAGACACATGTTGTGTTCAAATCTTTCTTGGAAGTGACTCGTCATTCCCTCTTTGGGTTTTCATTGTTTTCCGTCTGCCATCCATTTTAACTAAAAATATTACTAAGAGAAAAACGTGTTGTTGTTAATTAAAATCAGAAATTGAAATGACTCATTCACAAAATTACCTGTTTGGAATTCAAACTGTTGTCAGTCAGCTCCTGCCTTTAATCCTGGCTGTAATTAGCTTGAAGTTGCTTGTTCAGCTTAGAAGTGAAAGCCCAAGCCGCAATAGAAATGAAATGGGTCCTAATCATCACCCTAGGCCAGATCACTTTACCTGCACGCTGCTTTCATGTAAGTTTAGAAAAGGTCAAAGTGATATCTAAAGGAGAAAATTGGAAACACAAACGTCATACATCACATTACTTTCAAACAAGACATAAGCGATAAAATATGAATAAAGCAAGTTAGACAATTACCATTAATTTTAAAGTTGTGCCTTAAATTTTTATTTTGAACCTCCATGTTTGTGTTTCTACATGTTAGCAAACTGACAATGGAATCAGTAAATTATGTATTAATAGTTGATATCAAAGAATAAATAGTTGTTGAGGATAAGAAAACACGTTTGCAAAAAAAAAGTGGGGAAGTTTCTCAGAAATATGAGCAAATAGACACTATCGCAGAGACTATCATCAACTCTACAGTCAAAAGTTTGATATAAGAACGGCCCTAAATTCTTATCCACTTGTGTGTTCATATCTTGTGGAAGTTTTAGTGGAGATTATAGTTAGACCCCTGAAAAGCTTTAAAAAAAAGAGTGTCAGAATGTGCACAATGTGGCTTAAAAGCTGAAAACTTGTGTGTTTAATACTGTTAGTCAGTCTTATTTGTAAAAGAAGTAAAAGCACAACCAGCACTAAAGCTCTTTATTTGTACATGAAGCTGGGGTGTGCTACATTTAAGTAAAAAAAAGAGTATTTACTGTAAGACTTTACTTTGAAATGCTAAACATAAGTTTAGAAGCATTCAGCTGATAAGAACACAACTTGTCTTTTGTCCTTTTTTTGTTTTGTGCATCTCTCTGCCATGTTTCGTAATAATGTGAACGTTTGTGAAGCATTCTGCTCTGATCCGTTTTTCTTCCGTATGTTTTTCAGCGTCCTTCTCATTCCACAATTTTTGTGCCGTTTCATCAAATCATAAATCAAAATGTTCAGCTCATTCAGGAGAATGCTATGACTTTTGGTGTTTGTGCAACTGTGGCTTTTTGAAATATGTAGCCTTTTCTGCCACTTTTTGTCTCATAGAAAATTAATTGAGCTCATTTTACATCCTTCAGATCTTTAGATCTGTTTACAACCTTTTACTGCTCTTTTCACATTTTGTTCTGGTTCATCTTCTTTCAGCTTCCTTGTGCAAATGTAAACTTTTTTTCCAGCTACTTTCAGCTATTTTCTGCTGTTTTTTTCAGCTATTTAGTGATCCTTTTAGATTATTTCCGCTAACGTTTGTGCTTCTTTGAACTTCTTTCTGCTAATTTCAGCTTGTTATGGTCCTTTCAGCTTATTTATGCAAGTGTCAGCTTTTTCATCTAATTCCACATTTTTTGCACTTTTCAACTTTTTTCAGCCCATTTCAGCAAGTATGTGCTCTCTCCTTTACCTTCTGGTAATTTAAGCTTTTTTATGCTTTTTTTAGCTACTTTTTAGCTGTTTTTTCTTTTTCTTTCTAATTTAAGCTTTTTTCAGATAATTTCCACTTTTTGTGCTCATTTTTGCTTCTTTCAGCCTAATTGGGAAAACATGTTCTTTCTCCATCCATCCATCCATCCATTTTCTTCCGCTTATCCGGGGTCGGGTCGCGGGGGTAGCAGCCTAAGTAGGGAGGCCCAGGCTTCCCTCTCCCCAGCCACTTGGGCCAGCTCTTCGGGGGAATCCCGAGGCGTTCCCAGGCCAGCCGAGAAACGTAGTCCCTCCAGCGTGTCCTGGGTCTTCCCCTGGGCCTCCTTCCGGTGGGACGTGTCCGGAACATCTCACCAGGGAGGCGTCCAGAAGGCATCCTAAACAGATGCCCAAGCCACCTCAACTGGCTCCTCTCGATGTGGAGAAGCAGCGGCTCTACTCCGAGTCCCTCCCGGATGATCGAGCTTCTCACCCTGTCTCTAAGGGAGATCCCAGACACCCTGCGGAGAAAACTCATTTCGGCCGCTTGTATCCGAGATCTCATTCTTTCGGTCACAACCCAAAGCTCGTGACCATAGATGAGGGTGGGAACGTAGATCGATCGGTAAATTGAGAGCTTCGCCTTTTGACTCAGCTCTCTCTTCACCTGTACAGCGCCCGCTTCACTGCAGACGCTGCACCTATCCGCCTATCGATCTCACGCTCCATTTTTCCCTCATTCATGAACAAGACCCAAAGATACTTGAACTCCTCCACTTGGGGTAGGACCTCCTCCCTGACCCAGAGAGGGCACTCTACCCTTTTCCGGCTCAAGACCATGGCCTCGGATTTGGAGGAACTGATCTTCATCCCGGCCGCATCGCGTTCGGCTGCGAACCGCTCCAGCGAAAGCTGTAGATCACGATCTGATGAAGCCAATAAGACCACATCATCTGCAAAAAGCAGAGACGCAATTCTGAGGCCACCAAAACGGATCCCCTCAACACCTTGGCTGCGCCTAGAAATTCTGTCCATAAAAGTTATGAACAGAATCGGTGACAAAGGGCAACCTTGGCTGAGTCCAACTCTCACCGGGAACAAGCCCGACTTACTGCCGGCGATGCGGACCAGGCTCTGACACCGGTCATACAGGGACCTAACAGCCCGTATCAAAGGGCCTGGTACCCCATACTCCCAGAGTACCCCCCACAGGGCCCCCCGAGGGATGCGGTCGAACGCCTTCTCCAAGTCCACAAAGCACATGTAGACTGGTTGGGCAAACTCCCACGCACCCTCCAGGACCCTGCTGAGAGTGTAGAGCTGGTCCAGTGTTCCACGGCCAGGACGAAAACCGCACTGTTCCTCCTGAATCCGAGGTTCGACTATCCGACAGACCCTCCTCTCCAGAACCCCCGAATAGACCTTACCAGGGAGGCTTAAGAGCGTGATTCCCCTGTAGTTGGAACACACTCTACGGTCCCCCTTTTTGAATAGGGGGACCACCACCCCGGTCTGCCAATCCAGGGGAACTTCCCCCGATGTCCACGCAACATTGCAGAGTCGCGTAAGCCAACACAACCCTACAACATCCAGAGCCTTAAGAAACTCTGGGCGGATCTCATCCACCCCTGGGGCCCTGCCACCGAGGAGCTTTTTAACCACCTCGGTGACCTCAGCACCAGAGATTGGAGGGCCCAACCGAGTCCCCAGGCTCCGCTTCCTCAGTGGAAGACGTGCCGGTGGGATTGAGGAGGTCTTCAAAGTATTCTGCCCACCGACCCACAACATCCCGAATTGAGGTCAGCAGCACACCACTCCCACTATAAACAGTGTTGGTGGCATACCGCTTCCCCCCCTGAGACGCCGGATGGTGGACCAGAAACGTCTCAAAGCATGCGGAAGTCGTTCTCCATGGCCTCTCCGAACTCCTCCCATGCCCGAGTTTTTGCCTCAGCAACCACCCGAGCCGCATGTCGCTTGGACTGCCGGTACCCATCAGCTGCTTCCGGGGTCCCACAGGCCAAAAAGGCCCGATAGGACTCCTTCTTCAGCCTGACAGCATCCCTCACCGACGGTGTCCACCATCGGGTTCGAGGGTTGCCGCCGCGACAGGCACCGACAACCTTGCGGCCGCAGCTCTGGTAAGCCGCCTCGACAATAGAGGCACGAAACATGGTCCACTCAGACTCAATGTCCCCCACCTCCCTTGGAACATGTTCAAAGTTCTCCCGGAGGTGGGAGTTGAAACTCCGTCTCACAGGAGAGACTGCCAGACGTTCCCAGCAAACCCTCACAATACGTTTGGGCCTACCAGGTCTGACCGGCATCCTCCCCCACCATCGGAGCCAACTCACCACCAGGTAGTGATCAGTTGACAGCTCCGCCCCTCTCTTCACCCGAGTGTCCAAGACATGTGGCCGCAGATCAGATGAGACGATGACAAAGTCGATCATCGAACTGCGGCCTAGGGTGTCCTGGTGCCAAGAGCACATATGGACACTCTTATGCTTGAACAAGGTGTTCGTTATTGACAATCCATGACGAGCACAGAAGTCCAACAACAGAACACCACTCTGGTTCAGATCAGGGGGGCCGTTCCTCCCAACCACACCCCTCCAGGTCTCACTGTCATTGCCCACATGAGCATTGAAGTCCCCCAGCAGAACAAGGGAGTCCCCAGAAGGTGCACTTTCCAGTACCCCCTCTAAGGACTCCAGAAAGGGTGGATAATCTGAACTGCCGTTTGGTGCATAAGCACAAACGACAGTCAGAACCCGTCCCCCCACACGTAGGCGGAGAGAGGCCACCCTCTCATTCACCGGGGTGAACCCCAATACACAGGCACCAAGTTGGGGGGCAATTAGTTTGCCCACGCCTGCTCGGCGCCTCTCACCAGGGGCAACTCCAGAGTGGAAGAGTGTCCAGCCCCTCTCAAGGAAACTGGTTCCAGAGCCCGAGCCATGCGTAGAGGTGAGTCCGACTATTTCTAGCCGGAACCTCTCAGCCTCACACACCAGCTCAGGCTCCTTCCCACCTTTTTCTGCTATTTTAGCCACTATTTAGCTTTTTTTTTTGTGTGTGTGCTAAATTCAGCTTTTTCAGTTAATTCAGCATTTCTTTTTACTCATTTCAGCTCCTTCCACTTTCTTCTGGTAGTTTAAGCTTCATACTGCCTTTTCAGCTGCTTTTCAGCTATTTTGCAAATTTGTAGCTTTTTTAAGCTAATTTCCTATCTTTTGATCTATTTAAAGCTAATTCAGCAAACGTGTTCTTTTTTGCTTTTTTCTACTAACTTAGGTTTGTTCTTACATTTCAGCATGTTTTTAAGCTAATTTCAGCTGTTTTTCAGCAATAAGCATTCAAACTGCATTTTTGCAAGAAATGCGATTTCTCTAGTTGATATTGTGTGTGTGTGTGTGTTTTTGTAACCTAAAGGCATTAAGAGTTGATCATTAAATACTATAGAACATTTCTACATTGCCTTTGTAGACCATCATTCCCTGAACTCTTAATTTGAAGCAACTCATTTCAAATATTTCAAGTTCTATTTTAAAAATTTTCTATTCTCCGTTACGTTTGTGTTTTTCAGTCTCCCACACAGCTCCGTCCCTTTCTCTGTTTTCTTCTCCGCATCTGTGTATTCTTTCTGCTCCGTTTGGTTTTGTTTGTCTTGCCTTACCGCTGTTTGTCTGCACCCCACCAGATCTGTCCAAAGTGAAGCTGATGAGGTATGAGGACCCCTCACTAGGACCTCGCAGGGTGCCTGTTCTGGGACAGGAGGAAAAAGGCAAACTGCCCATCTCCAGCAAGTCTGTGTTCAACGTGAATCTGCAAGAGAACACGGTCACTTTGACTGACAATGGCCTGACCCTAAACATCGGGGACACGCTGGTGTATCTGGTCCATTAGGGAAGCACTCAGTGTCACACAGGAGCAGGATTCAGCAGTGATTTTTAGTGAAAAACTCAAATGCTTCATGACATGTTACAATTTAACAGGTCCACTCTGACACACGTCCAAAGAACACTTGAACATATTAGTCTTTTGATGTTTCTGTACGTTGGTCTAGATTTTATTGGAAGACCTCACTGTCAGAACATCTTAAAGCAAACGCAAAGAATGCTACAACTTTTGATTAATAATGAAACTAAAGCTCTTAATTAGAATAATAAAAAGCTCAATACAGTAAATGTTGTTCCAAAGGAATCAACCTGTAGCTTTTTATACCTGAGCAAGAGAATGACGCTTGAATCCGTAAGATGCTCTGCAGTACATGAGCAGCCTGTGTCAGTTCAGTTGAATTTTGTCGTTTTGACGTGTGGACATCTTGTTCCTCCTGTCTGATACAATATGTTGTAAACGAGCAATTACCAGAAATGAAACTTTAAATGGATCTTTACTTAGAGATGTGGAACAGACACCAACCATCACTTCTTATTTGGCCAACCAGATTTTTACAGACTGCTTCTTTCTGAAGGCCTTAAACTGTCATACAGATAGCTCTGTGTTGTTTTCTACTGCAAAGATAAGGACATCTTCTCTGCATGTTAAGACACATTTCTCATTTTATAGCTGCCATATTTGCTTGTCGGAGACTTCCACAAAAATAAAATCTAAAAAAAATGTACCCTTATTGGTTTCTCTCTTGGCTTTTTATATACCGTATGTCCTCTTAGTACAGTTATAATGGGGAATGTTCTCAGTAAGAATAGGCAGCTCTTTTAGATGCTGCTGCTGTTTAATACACTGAAACTTTTAATTTAATAAATAAAAATGGAGAATATTCAGTGTGGGCAGCACGGTGGCACAGTTGGTAGAGCTGCCGCCTCTTGACGAACAGATCGTTTCAGTTCAAATATCGGCCGGGGGCCTGTCCGGGTGGAGTTTGCATGTTCTCTCCGTGTATGCGTGGGTTTTCTCCAGGTACTCCAGTTTCCTCCTACAGACCAAAAGCATACATGTTAGGCTGATTGGTAACTGTGAGTGAGAGAGTGAATGGTTGTTTGTCTCAATGTGTCCTTGTGATGGACTGGAGACCTGTCCATGGTGTACCCCGCCCCTCGCACAGTGACTGCTGGACATGGGCACCAGTGACCCGAAATGGAAAAAGCGGGTAAGAGATGATGAATGGATGGACTCTAACATAATTTTTAGCAAATGCTGCTTTTATCTCTCCGATTATATGATAGTGACGTTTCCAAGCTACTTGTACACCAAAGTTTAGGTTAATGTTTCTAAAATTTTATCAAATTTGTAAAAAAAAAAAAAAAAAGGGAGTGGTGACAGAGGTTAGAAAAGGTGGGCCTGTGATCAAAAGGTTGCCGGTTCAACTCCATGGACTGAAAACATCAAAAAAGTGGAAAAAGTGAAACACCAACACCTGCCTCCACCCTCATTTGCCCCACTCCATGAGCAAGGCTCTTAACCCCCACCATGTGCTCCTCCGAGCACATCAGATAGCAGCTCTCTGCTCCACACAGAGGGCTGTGGTAGCTCAGTGGTCTGTGGCCGCGTCAGGAAGGACATCCGATGTAAAAACAATTGCCAAGTCTTCATGTGCGAGTTAGTTCACCGTGGCGACCTCTGAAGAAGGGAGCAGCCCAAAGAAGATAAACAAAGTTTGTAAAATTGACTGAGATTTTAAAATTTTAAGTTGTTGGCCGTTGAATGGAGCTCACAAGACCGTCAGTAATAGAAATACATTCGGTAATTCCTTTCTTTCTGCAATTTATTAAAACTTCTCTAAAGGTTCACAAGATAATTCTGGCAATAAACACAAACGCTCAAAAGTCTTCATGCGTTTGCACCGAGACTCGAAAGGTAATAGTTTCGCTACGTGCTCTTCCATCACACACAAACATCCCCTCTCCTTTTCTTTTAGTAACTCGCGTGTATTATCAGTGCATCAGTCTAAATGACAAAGGTCAGAGTCGGATCACAGGAAATGACCCCCCCCCCCCGACCCCAAAACAATAACCACATGTTTCACTGCTTCTAAAGTGAAGCTTTCACTTCCCAGCTCTTTACACTTTTGCTGATGTTTCTACTTCAAACGTAACATTTACTGAAGCGTTTCAGAACTGATGGAATGTGGGCGTCATGGGTCAATCTGCTCAGATTGAATTTTATTTTGACATTTAACATCAACTTTAGATGTTAAAAATAACTATTTCTGCTGTATTTGGTGACTTCTTAGTTCATTCAGCATGATGCATCCACAATACTGTGTGCTGGACTGTCGTCATGTGCCTTGATGTGTGCTGGCCCTCTCTCTGTTCGCTGTATTAGCAGTGAGCACAGCAAAGTCTCAGGCAGAAGACAACTAGGAAACTTATCTCGGTCACGCAGCTTCTGGCTGAGCCATCTGACTGCTGGTTTATCTGCTCCAACGCACACCCTCTCACTGGGAGAGTGTCACTTCGCCTCCTCCACCTCCTCTTTCCTGCTGACTCCTGCTCGCTCCCCTCTTGCCTCCTTGTCTCACTCGTCTCTGGATGCCAGCAGCTTCTAGTCATGGAGGAGACAACAGTCACACACCAGTAAGTGTTTTTTTTGTTTGTTTTGTTTTTTTGTCCTCACCAGGGCACATTGTTGTCAGCACAGAACACAATAGAATTACAGCAAACAGCTGTTTTATCTAGCTTTCCCCCCTTAAAACTGAAAAATGGTAGCTTCTTTAGAAATTATTTCTAGTTAATATCAGGCAAATGCATTGTAAACTTTCTACAAGTTTAACTTCATTTATGGTTTGGCGTGAAAATGTGTGCAAGCAGAATAAATAAAATATGTTTTAAATTGACTTGGGTTAGGAATAATTCTAGAAATCTCTTCTGCATTTGAGAAGAAGTAAAAGTTTGTAGTCACTGATCAAGCACCGGTCTCGAGATGTGAACAGATTTGCTATTTCAGACCTGAACTGTCGGACAGAGAAGTTTCGGCATCAGTGAGTCATGAGGAGGAAGCAGGGGGGCTCACCGAACAAAATGAAGAAAACTGGAGGTCAAGCAATGCCTCTGATATGATGGAGCCGGTGCTCACACAGCCGGGCCTCGGTATCGCCACGACAACCATCACCACCATCACTCAAACAGGAGGAGACTGGAGCACTGGCCTGTTGGACGTCTGTGGAGATAAGACTACATGTAACATAAACACGAAAGTCATGAACACAGTTAGAATTCAGGGCAGACATTTCTACAAACAAAACCCATGCACAGTACGTCTGTAAAAATAAATGCACTGATTGAGGGTGCCCGTGCAATAAAAATGCATCAAAAGATCAATCTTGATCAGGAATAGTGTGCTAGGACTTTTGGTGGCAGTACATCATGCAACATAGCAGGAAAAATAAAATAAAATTCCCCTTGGAGAAAACCCAGCCCTATTTGGAGCTTCATAGATCAGGCAGACTTTGGTCTTCACAACCTTTAAAGTTTATATGGGTTGCCCCCAGAAATTTTTGATTAAAGTAGATGCCATTTCCTGCATTCTGGTGTATTTTAACGGGTTGTTAAACATCTAGTTTTACCTACATACGTAAACACTTGATTCAATAACTATTTTGGAGAGCAACAAGAAGTAGCCTGACCAACAGCGCTCCTTGTGTGAATAGAACATGCTCTGCTTCTCTCAATCATCCTCGCACCTGCTCCAGTATCTCCATTGCCACTGCCTTCACGTGCTTCAGTTCTTGTTTTTTAGTTGTACAATGAGAAGACTTTATTGATTTTTTAAATTTTTTTAAATGAAAGTAAATTGGACTTTCTTTTTTACATTTTGCTTGCTTGCTGTTATTTTGACAAATTGGTGCTGTTGTTTTGATACGTGATGTACGTAACTTATGTGATTACCCATCAAACTTTTCTTTTGTATTTTTAATAATCAAAATTTAATTACTGACACACTTAAACTGTAAAACTGATATGCAATTTAGTTGTGCTGTTTAATTATATTTTTGTGTTTTTAATTATATTGCCCATGACTGTACTTTTAGGGGCGCATATTTTTTAAGGGTAGAAGCAGAAATGCTTACTTGAAGGGGCCGCTCATATGTGATATTAGGACACTTGTAAGTACCTGTTATATTTAAAATGAGTATTTATGTAATTATTTTCAGTTTACATATCCAATATAGGTTTTATTAGTTCAAGGCAGTCAAACTTGTTCATAACTTTATTATTAGTAAGCCTGAGAGTTACTGGATCCAAGCAAACGGTTACCAGAACACACCCTGTCAAAATAAGAGTTTCCCGATCCTGTTCCATCAGGATCCAGCTCAAATTAAGCCCTGGTCAGAACTGATATTTTTTCATATCTATATTGGCTTTTATAGAATTTGTTTAACTTTTATGATCTTTGGAAATTCTTTAATGGAATGTTCATGCTAAATGCTGTCTGAACTTCATACATTTTTTTTTTTTTGCATAAATCACAGTCTTGGTTTGCACATTGTTTGCTCTTATTTTACAGTTTATTCATCAAAATGTCTTCTTTTACCTTATGTATGTGTCACTGATATTTAGGACTTATAGTTTTCTCTCAAATCTCTCCAGAATGTAGAAAGTGCACTCCCAAGCTTCCATCATGTTTGATCTTTTATGTTATCTGTGAAACTGGACAGGAAGGGTCATTTTTTACTTTTCTTATCTTCTAGATAAAACGTGGTAGATAAAAATAAATAAATAAATAAACAACATAAAAACAAAACATAAATGACAATCCGATGCTTTTGCAACTTATGATTCAATGTTTCCATTTTAACATTTTCACACAGGAACTGTTTACTTCCAGAGCGAGAGACACGCGTGTGGTAACTATGTTGACTCTAAAGAGCCACTAGCAGAGCTCACATTTTTTCTATTGTTTATACATAAAAATAACTGTTTTATTACTGCCTTAAAATAAATTGAATTATGTTTGAATTTTAGGCTGAAGCTGCATTGTCACCTTTTAAACACTTATTCAGACTTTTTTTTCTTAACCATTATTTAAAATCCTATTTAAAAATAATTTTGCGAGAGTGACAATTATAATTTGTTTTCTGTCCCCGACGGCTCAGAAGTCAGCGGAGCTCACATGTGTGCTCTGTTATAGAGAACTTTTGTACTTTACCTTTAATATAAAGTTCATATGCACAATATGTGCCTGTCTTCACAGTGCAAAAATATTATTTTCAGAGTGTTTTGAAATAATAATGAATCATCTCCCTGTTATATCAAAATAGAACAAATACATCCACATCTCAAATGCATTCATATCTTGTCTAACTGGTACATTTAATCTAAATAGAATGGAGCACATAAGACAACAGTCCAGTTATCAAAGAACACAGAGCACAATTTATTGATGACCTATTTTCCTTGTCTTTTGCCATCACATGAACGAGCTATAAACCTGGATTGAACTTTCTGTTATACGCACTACTATTAATAATAGTCTGTGAAGTTCAAGTTCAAGTTTCTTGTCATTCACATCACATGTGGCACACGAGGTGGAACGAAAGATATACACTAAGACATATGCATATGTGTCAAACTCAAGGCCCGGGGTCCAAATATGGCCCTCGTTGGTATCTTATCTGGCCCCCGAGATGATCTTTTAAATGTAAAATACTTTTATCACTTTAATTTTTTCAGTAATCTTTGATTATAATGTTAAAAGTGCAACAGAGAACATCAAATGAGACCAATCAAACTCTTGTTGAGGAACCTGCAACCAAGAAAAAATGTTGGGTATCTAGCTTGAGTTAATGTAGATTCTAAAACTGGCCCTTAGTTTGAAAAAGGTTTTAATTTTGGCCCCATTTTGTAAGTGAGTTTGACACCCGATATGCTAAACAATATGCTAAAAGATCTAAGATATATGCTAAACACTAATAATGTAAAGTAATATGGCATAATAAACAGCAGCCCGAACATGAGTCTGTAGTGAGTAGATGGGTATGAATGAATACAGCAGCATGCTGTGACGTCTGTGTCTGTTTATTGCAATAAACAAATTCAAAGACCATTTTTGAAGACATCTTTAACTTCACCTGTTTCTGTGTTGAGGCAAATTAAAGCAGGAAAATCCACAACAGCTCCAATGTCAATGTCAATTTATTTATATAGCACATAAAAACAACAAAAGCTGACCAAAGTGCTTTACAGTTAGGACAGATTAAAATTTTTTTAAAAGAGTAAAAATGCATCTAGTGCCACTCAAAAACATAAGTTGACAATAAAAACAACACATAACAACAATAAAATCAGCTCAACTTGTTCTCAGACTCTGCGTGGATGAAATGCCAAGGAATACAGATGAGTCTTGAGCAAAGATTTAAAAGTCTCAACAGTCTGAGCGGTCTTTAAATTCTCAGGTAAACTGTTCCACAGTTTTGGAGCAGCAACCGCAAAAGCCCGATCACCTCTGGATTTCAGTTTGGATCTGGGGACATCTAAGAGGAACTGGTTGGTAGACCGGAGTGCTCTTACTGGAGTGTAAATGTTAATGAGATCACATAAATATGACGGGGCCAGACCTTTTAAGACTTTAAAAACAAGCAATAAAATCAGAATGGAATACTTTTATTCCACAGCTAGACCAGTTCAGTGTAAAACCTAACACGTCTCGGAGGAGTCTTATTATCTTTTTAAGTTTTCGTAACGTGAACTCCATTGTCACATCATTAAACATTTTCCCAGATTCTCACCAACTTTTTCATTGATTTTGCAACTTGGGTGTCCATTTCCCTGCCAGCCCGAACTCCATCTATTGAAACAATCAAATGAAGCTGGGGATTCATCTGAAAATTTAATAAAGTAAAAAAAAAATTTGTTTTGTTTTTTGCTTCTCATCTTAATGGTTTATTAAGAACAGCTGGGTTGCAGAGACAGGTGCAGTTTCATATACCTATCCACCACATAAATACACATTTTATACCCCTATAAAACCACTAGACTAAATTATAAGTGCAGCTCTGCACTTATAATATAGTGAAACTTTAATAGGCCTTTAATAGTTAAATCATTTCTTTAGTTCTGTTTTTTATTTCAGTTATTTATGCACTGATTTCTGTTACATCTCTTGATGGATCTTGATCTTAAAAACAACAAATTTATGTTCTTAAAGAAACAGTTTTTCTTTATGTTGCATGAAAACTACATTTGATACTTTTCCATTCTCATTCATTTTGTTCAGAGTCATGAAAGAAGCCTGTCTCCCCCTGATTGGCCAGGAATAGAGCTACACGAAGTCATAAAAAAAAACTTTTTTTTTACAAAAATGCCCAAACATTTTTTTTTTTTAAGAAAATAAAGGTTTTCATTTTTTCTTAGAAATAAATCCAATAAAAGCCAACAAATCTTACATCTATTCTTTGAGAGGTGTTTGTGGACACATGATTCACTCTCAAACTTCTCGTTCTTGCGCCTGAGCTTGCAGGTATTCTGGGAGCACTGGTGCCGTGCTGTTTGGACCTGAGTTTGGCTCACCAGTACGGGGAGTGTTTGTGCATGCCTCTCCTACCAGGATCCACTTTTGCCATGCGGGTTGGGATCAGGGAACGATACAAGATACGGGTGAGTCATCCAAATAAATATTTCTTATCAGGAAATTTTAAATCTATTTGATCATGAGTCTGCCTCTGTTACATTGTTTTGACTGCATATGTGTTTGCTCCTTGCTATCCTGCTTGTTGATCCACAGGGGAGTGTGTGCGAGGACTGGACCACGGTGTGTTGCTGTTACTCTCTGGCTGTGTGTCAGATGATAAGAGAGATGAAGCAGAGGATGAAGCGCCAGACATACTGTGTGTCTACTACATTTGAAAGCTCCTAAATACATTATTAACTGAGGTTTTTTTTTTTTTTAAATATGTAATGCAACAAATGGACCAATGGAAATTAGCTTAGAAAAATTATTTAAACTTAGAAATCAAATTAGATAGGAGAAACTTTGATGTACGGATTTAAACGATGATTTTAGTGTTCGAAAAGCTTCACTTTTGAAGAAACGGTTTAATTCTGACTGGACTGATGCGCTAATAGTTACTCTGAGCAAGACCAAAGTGGACTGATACCATCACTCAAATCTCAAAAGTTGTTTATTCAAACTCTATTTTATAAACCCTTACATCTCTGATAAGCCATTTCATGGCGATATTCCTGCTGGTAGTTATTGTTGCCATGTTAGCTAGCTGATGGAGCTAGCTAAAGTTGTTGTTAGTACTTGTAAATAATCTGGAAAATCCATTAAAATAACTATGCAACTGGCAGCGTAGTGGGGCAGTGGTTAGAGATGCCGCTTCACAGCGAGAAAGTCACATGTCTGCCTTCAAGCCTGAGGCCTTTCTGGGTGGAGTTTGCATATTTCCAATCCCACTGACCAAAAACATGCATGCTAAATTAAATGGTAACTCTAAATTGTCCCTAGATGTAAGATAGACTTAATGGTTGTTTGTCTTTTTTGCCGCCAAGTCTTCCTGCGTTGACTTGTAAGATGTACAGGTGTACAGGGTGTACTATCACACGAGTATTGTTGGAAACACACAACCAGCTCCCCATGACCCAGAAAGGAAGAGGGGGTAAAAATTGAGAATAGAGTTGAAAACATTTCACTTTGACTTTGGTTTTGCTTTGACTAACTGTTTGCTTGTTAATTGGGGTGACTGTGGCTGAGTGGTTAGCGCAGTCGTCTTCCACTGCAAGAGTTGAGGGTTCAATTCCACCAGCAGTCACATGCCGAAGTGTCCCTAGGCAAGACACTGAACCCCTCATTGCCTCCAATGTGTGTCCCATCGGTGTATGAATGTGATAAAGCACAGATTATTCTTTGTAGAGATCTAGCAGAGTACTGTAAGAATAGATATACGAGGGCACAGATTGTAAAAAGCTTTGAGTATCTTGATAAGATAGAAAAGTTCTATGTAAGTACAGTCCATTTAGCATTTAATTCAATGTAAATTAAACTTTGTTTGATCAAATAAATTTTGTGCATTTATGTTCACACCTGTTACACAAAGAGCTATTTAAAATACCTGAAATGTTAACTGTTCATAACATCAAAGTTCATGCTCAATCATCCAGGTACCAAATACAGTAATGGTCAGTCAGGTCATCTGGACAGTTTCTTTTTTGTGGAAAGACATTTTGCCTTCCATCCGGAGGGCTTCATCAGTCTGAGGAGTCCCAAGTAAACTGTTTCCCCACTAAGCAGTATACTCCTTTAGTGGACCAACCAGTTTGCTGGGGATAAGATGGTTTCTGGGGGCTGTCCTGTCCCCAGTCAACTCCTCCCAGGCAGGCAGCCACAGCCACAGTGGTTTAAGACATCAAAGTTCATGCTCAATCATCCAGGTACAAAATCCAATAATGGTCAGTCAGGTCATCTGAACAGTCTTTTTGGTGGAAAGACGTTTCGTCCTCTATTCGTAGGGCATAGCCCATAGACCTGACTGACCATCATTGAACTGTTCATTACTTTTCTATAGAGCTGAATTAAAAACGTATATTGCTTCAGCTAACCTAAAAAAAAATCACAGCAATGGAAATTAAAAAAAAAATGCTGACATGGGACTATAACTCATTACTTGAAGCATTGTATTGATCTAGCTTTGTCAGCCAATGACAGCAAATCTCAGTCACACAAAAGAAACTGAAACTTTTACTTTTATGATTCAATCAAAAATGCCATCACCAGCCTACATTTATGTGTCTTCTTCTAAACAAGGGCAGACCCCAGTTACTGTGGGTGTCATGTGGGCATGTTAGCTCCCATACTGTAGTCATCTTCCCAATGTGCAAATCAAGGTTAAAGAATGCCGCTCTCACTGTACGACACAATCACATAAAAGAATGTTTGATCCCTTCAGTTGTAAAATGGCTTTTGTCTGATGCTAAAAAAGGCAATATGACATTTCATTAAGGCGATTTTTCAATAGAGAAATAAATGATCATTTGGGTTCTCTTTAATTTCATTTATGATGACGTGTCACCAACCAGATAAATGAGTTCTTCTCCTGTCAAATGTGAATAGAAGCGTTCACTTAAAGAGTAACGAGCACACAACAAATGATTGCAAATCACATCTAAAAAAATTGACGAGTGATACTTATTATAAAGTTACAGTTACAAGAAATGCAAATAATCTCCATTCTAATTATGAATAAATCCCAGTAAGCTGTTTGATTTGCTAACAAAGTGTAATTGCGGTTGTAAGAGTCGGTATAATTTTCATGTACACTGAACCCATTGTCCGGTTAACCAGCATGCAGATCACATCGTAGCTTCAATTATAAAATAACGTTTTCAGATGCTAAAGCCTATTTCTGTATTCCAGCTATTCTTTTGAATCTGTATTACTTTATTCACCCAGAGGCATCCAACCATTTTATTAATCCAGTCTTGATTGCTCTGGTTCCCTGAACCCGAAATGCCAACCAGACAGAGCACATATGAAAACGTTATTTATTCACAAAAGCAGATGGATCCTCAAAGGGCAAATATGTAATTTGGTAACTCTTGCAGATGTGGTCTCCCACCTGGCAGCTGTCTCAAATGAAATAAGAAAATGGCAGAAAATTGGTGTGGAGACAAAAACAGAGAAAGATGTGAATAATAAAATCTGGTCGTATTCAGCAGAATACAGTCTCCATTTCAGTGAGCTAATCTCACCAACGTGAATGTTTTCAGAGTACTTCAGTTCTTAAGTGCATATTTTTGACATTATTTAAAGTTGATTTTTGGTTTATCTGAGGTACTGTCAAGAGGGGTGACGAGGGCCAGTAAATCGAAAGTGGAGACAAAAGGTGAGGCGTTGTTAGAGGAAGTACAGTTTATGATATAAAGAGAAAGTGGAGAGATCTGATATGGAGCTGACGTTGGAACTAAGAGAGAACAGGATCACAAGAATGAAGAAATACAGTAAAATGTGTGGCACACTTAACAAGACATTAACATTGAAACAAACTATAGTTAAAACTTTCTTAAAGCTAAAAAAAAAAATAAAAAAAAAAATAGAAAAGTCAGTCTGATGTAGTGAAGGTGTCAGGGCTGTGACCATGGAACTGTGTTTTCCATGCAATAAATTGTGCTTCTGTTAGTCGAAGACCAGGAGGAGTGAAACTTCTAGGAGGCAGAGAAAGAAGAAGAAAGTTAAGAGTATATGACTGTGGGTAGCAACTCTAATTTCAGAAACAATGGCAGGTGAAGGTAGAGAGCTGACTGAAATGATGCAGAGAAGGAAGGTGTATTTAGTGCGCAAGAATGGTAAATGGACTGTACTTGTATAGCACCTTTCGATCTTATCAAGCTACTCAGAGCACTTTACAACACAATCTGTGTCCTCATTTACCCATTCATACAACACTCTACTATATCTATACAAAGATTAATCAGGGCTTTATCACATTCATACAGCGATGGGACACACATCAAAGGCAATGAGGGGTTCAGTGTCTTGCCCAGGAACGCTTCAGCTGGTGGAATCGTACCCACAGCTCTTGCATTGGAAGACAACTGCTCAGCCACAGCCGCCCACAGCCAAGTGGAAGGGAAGCAAAGCTCATAGCACTGGGAGAAGGTTTAAGCTATTTCACCATTGTGTAGACAGAAATCAAAATGGACTAGGGATGGTCCTGAAGGAGGAGTATGCAAGGATTATAGCAGAGGTGAAACGAGTGTCAGATGTGTCTGAAGGCAAAAGTAGAAAAACTGTTGATTGTCATCAATGGTTATGCTGCACAAATTGGATGTGAGGTATAGGAGAAAGACAAATTCTGGAAGAATCCAAAATTAGAGTATTTCCAGGGAGGAGAAAGTGGTGATCAGAGCAGACCTGAATGGACAGGTTGGTGAAGGAAACAGAGGTGATGAGGACGTGACGGACACTTTTGGTGGAAAGGCACAAGGAAAGAAAGATGGCGGTGGATTTAGCCAAGAAGATGGAAGTGGTTGTAGTCAACACTTATTTCTAAAAGAGGGAAGAACACATATAAGAGTGGGAGCAGGAGTATGCAGGTTGACTGCATTCTGTGGAGAAGAGGTGACCTGATGAGACTTGGGGACTGTAAGGTTGTAGCAGTAAGAGCGTGGCCAGAACCATTGGGGAACCACCCCTCCAATCTGCCAATCCAGTGGCACTGCCCCCGATGTCCATGCGATGTTGCAAAGGTGTATCAAACAGGACAGCCCAACAACATCCAGAGCCTTAAGGCAATCAGAACAATTCTAATCCATCCCCGGAGCCCTGCCGCCACGTAGCTTTTTAACTACCTCGGCGACCTCAGCCACGGTTATGGACAGACCAACCCCAAAGTCCCCTGACTGGGCTTCCTCCATGGAAGACGTGTCAGTGGGATTGAGAAGGTCCGAGAAGTATTTCTTCCACCTCCCTTTAGAAATCATAAAAAGAAAAAACAATTGAAGCAGGAATGCAGATTACAGTGTTGCATGTCTAATGCAGCAAGTTCAACAGGCATTTAGTGCACATCATTTGTTAAATAAATTGGCAATTCGTTTTATATACAGTATAGGTTTTTTGTTTGGATAAAAAGCACTGATAACTGCGTGTAGCTGTACATGTCAGATGTCTTTATTTATTTATTGGCCTTGCTGGTTTCTGTCCCTTCTCTAACCTTTATCATAAAGGTAAGAGGACGTGCAACACATTTACTCAGTTTTCTTTATAAAAGTAGTAATATAAAATCTACAGTTATCATCATAGTACTAATGTGGGAAATAAAATGTTTGGATTAGGCTCTTTTGTTTCCCAGTCAGCCCCAAATAAATAAATAGCTAGTGGTGCAGCTTGTGCTTGATGCCTACTGGGGACTGTTGGAGAGCAGCGTCTGCCTCAAGCAGAACTACATTCGAGCTCTGGGGTAACAACTTTC